AACAGGTTTTGTCAATTTGTACGTGTACCTGAAGGAAAAAAAAAAACAGAGAAACAATTAGAGAGATAGAAACGAAACTTTGGTAGTCAGAAAGTGGTAAAAAGTAAAACTGACTAAGGTCAAATTCATTTTAAAACTAATCGGACTTAGCTTCTGTAAACAGAATAAGATAAAATAGAGATTGATTCAGCTCCAGACAAAAAATTTGCCTCCAAACCCAGATCTGGTTAGAAAATAAGCCGTAAAGCGTCTCACTTAGCTCGCATGACAGAACTATTATTATTATTATTATTATTATTATTATTATTATTATTATTATTATTACTACTGCTGCTATTGCTGCTATACTACTACTATTATTATTGTATACATAATTATAAATCAAGTATTAAATGTGAGTATCTCTATCCTTGACAATTTGAGCCTTTGTTCAAGGTGCTTGTTTTTGTTGTTGTTTAATTTAAAAAGCTTTAAGTTGAATGGGTTCCAATGAGTTATTGTTTTTATATAATACAAAACTCGCCATGGTACATGCTGCGACGGCATAATTAGCTACCAATAAGAATGTTGGAGTGAATGATCATGCTGCTTGATCAGCGTGGAACGAGCAAAAAGAGTGAGGGTTTGTAGTGATTCCGTGAAAGCCCCTTAAATTTGATTGCATATAAACATGCATTCATCATATGAGTTAATGTATACAGATTGTGCAATATGCTGATGATGAGATGAATATTCATTTCACGATATCCTCTTAACCAGCCATTGAATGTAGGACCTAATTATTACCGGCTATGTGTAATGTATATCCGTAACCATTTGCATGGTTAATGGTTGGATCCCACGGCCCTTTTATTAAAAAAAAAAAAAAACAGAGAGAAAGAGATTAGGAAAAATGATATTAAAATTTCATTGAATTATCTAAATGACATTTTGATCCTTCAAAATATCATAACTCTTTTGAAATTCTTAGGAGCATTAAGAAATTAATATAAAAGATTATATTTTTTGATTAAAATAAAAATCACAAATCTCAGAATAAATATTTGTAAACTTATGAATTGTTGTTAAATTCTTAAAAATTTAAGAAGAAAAATTATGAATATTGGAATAAAACTTATGAATGACAGTTGATATTTGCAACATTTATATCAAAATTTTAAATGTGAACTTGTAAATTGCTATTGAGTTTTTGCAAATTTGAAAAGAAAAGTTGTAAATCTTAAAACAAAACTTATTAATAATAATTGATATTTGTAACACTTGAAAAGTATCAAAATTTTAAATGCAAACTTATGAATTGTTATTGAATTCTTGTGATTTTTTAAAAAAATTGTAAATTTTAGAATAAGACTTGCAAATCAATGGCCCAAAATATCTAATTTGAGGCTTGAAATTTTTATTGCAATCAAGGACAATTTAATTTTTTACGTTAATTACTTAATAATAAAAAAATTTTAAAAATTTTAAGAGAATTATGACATTTTATATAATTAAAATATTATTTATATAATTTAAAGAGATTTTATTATTATTATTTTTTCAAGAAATTAAACAAAGCCGTCACATATAATTGCTTGGTTTCTGAAAGCAACAAAATAAACTGGAGAACACGCAAAAGATTGAATATCTACCTAGATTAATATAATCAAGGTACGTCAGCCTTAGCCTTCATGCTCCAAGGTGAGGAGTTGGCTTCGCGTTGCAGAAGACATAATTTATTAATTATTGTAATAATTTAATACATGCGCATAAAATTATGTAGAAAGCTCAAAGCTCTACTTTTTATTTTTTAGCCAGAAATATGAAATGTTATTGAAAACAGTAGCGTTTACAAAAACAAACAAGGTACAATGTCATAAAAAAAAACTCCCACTAATAGAGAGAGAAAAGCTCCCATAAGAAAATCCCAAGAGAAAAAATAAAGCAATAAAAAACCCTACCATTCACATATGAATAATATAGTATATTGAGTTAAATGTAAATATAGAATTACTCTAATAACATGTAGCATTATAGTGGAGCCTAGCTTGTTTTATTTCTTTTATTTCAAATTATAATATATATTTTAAAATTATTCAATGTCTTAAAATATAAAATATTTTAATAAAAATAACGTTTCATTAATTATATTTTAATATTATCCTTCTCTTCTACTATATTCACTCTCTATATTTAATGTTTCATGAATAAAGTTGTTTTAAATTAAGGATATTTTTAAAAATATATATTCATATTTTTAAAAAACAAGGTTATAAATTACATTCAACGAGTTTTATTTATTTTATTTAAAAATATTTTATAAATTGAGACGGGGAGAGTAAATAACATGCTTTTGCCATGGGAAAAGTACTTAGTCACATTGGTTTGCACAATTAAGAGTAAGAATGAGATAGAGTATCTCCTTAAAATAAAATAAAAAATGCACTCACAATTGAAAAAAAATGCACTCATTCTAATCCTAAATGTAAGAGTGAGTAGACGGATCCGCTTTAGATTTAAATACAATACCTCAATTTACTTTATCTCTCAAACATGTATTTTTTTTCTAAACTATCCCTGTTAATTGCAAATATTAAACGCTAGTTTTTATTAGGGATGATTTCCAACATAAATAATTAAAATGAGCGTTTTAGAAAAATCAACACACACTTTTAACACTTGCAACTATCTGAGCTGAGAAAAAAATTTTAAAAAACTATTTGAACTATTATTTTCATTTTATACTGTCAAGAATTTTTTTTTTTTGAGATCTAACTATTATGAAATTAAATTTTTTAAGATTTAACTGTTATTTCTTCAGTCTTAAAATTAGAATAAGAAATGGCGCACACACATATATAAAACGTAGACATATATTTATTTGTAATAATTAGAAAAATAAGAGATAGTTAATGATTAGAGTTGTGTCAATTGTAATTAAGCTATCATTTATTAATAGTATAATAACTTCCCGCAAAATTTGACCTTAAAAAAATGCGGCGATAACGTGGGTTGTTACTTTGATCTTCATCTTCCGTTGATGTTCATATCTGCTCTTGATTTGTCCACGATCACAAGGGTGAAAAAGTCACATGAGAATGTCAAGGGAGAATTTTGGTATTTAAAGAGAAATTTCTGGTCAACTATATAATATCCTGTTGGGTTCAGTTCAGTTTTCTTGGGCAGTTCCCACGACTCAATCTAGTGTAGCCAGCCCTGTCATACTCAGATAATGTAATTAATTCAATCCATTCTCCGTTTTTATTTTCGTAAGAACAATAACATCCACACACATACATTTATTTATTATTTATTTATTTTCTTATGAGACAATTGAAGAATATATTCCTGCACTTTGTTTTGGCAGCTAGTAAGCAAAGCATGACACACATCCACATGGATTTGCCTTGCAATAATCAACAAGGATGTTCTCAGGCAACCAAAAAAAAAAAAAAACCTTTTTTTTTTTTTTGCCAGGTACATAAAATTACCGAGTTTTGGCAGATGTATATATTTTTCCAAATAAAAAAAATATATGTACGCTTTTTTCTTATTTCACAATAATACACTGTTACTCTGGTGATTACTATTATTATTTTTTTATCAGGATAATCGACCCGTGAATATCGCTGTCATCCCCTAGAATCTTTGTTTAATTACCATCATTACTATTGCGTGTTACTATTAATGCTGAAATATTTCAATATCAAGACTCGTATATTATTATCTTTATGTTATGACGAAAGCTTTGGCTAAATGATGTAAAAGAAAATCAGTTTTAAAATAAATTGAAGTAAAATATCTAACTCCAAACAAGTTTAACAAGAAAAAGTCACGAGCTGAGCTATATAGTTGTGATAATTCTTTCTTGGTTTATTCTGTTAACAAAATATACTTGTTCTCGATGTCCACAGTGGTTAAGATCAACAGGGAGTACGTTTTTGATGCAACAATCTTCAATTTAATACTTCATTTAATTCTATTTATAGGGTAGAGAGAAATATTTTTTAATTCCATTTATAAGTTATGTTATTAAATTTTTATTACAAATTTTTTTACCTTCCGTTAAATGTTGGAAAGAGAAACTATGTTATTTAAGTATGTATATTTAATAAGGATAAAGTTTAAAACTTATTAAATTTTAAGATAGGATTAGTGAGTTTTAAGGTGTTTTTTAACACTGGTAAAATATGTTGGGAGTGACTTATAAATAGGATCAGAGGAATAACTGTTTGCAATTAGGAATAATTAAGTTTACAATTTTTTTTGCTGCCCAGCTTTTGAAATAGTTTTAGTTGTTATATCATTATTTTTGTTGATCCATCTATACGCGTGTGTGAGTGTGAATCTTAAAATACTCGAATTATTTAGCAGACAGCCAAGTAACGGCTTAAATTGATTTAAATTTTAAATGTTTGAATAAAAATGATAAGAGACGGTGGAGAAAAAAATGGAAGATAATTCCAAAAATTTTAAAACCCGACCAATAATTGTCACCATAATCACACATACAGAAGAGAAGATGATTGATTAAATCGTGTGAGGAGTAACGTGACTATAGAAGGAATTCGTGTAAAAAAAAAAAATGGTTTATCACGTAGAGTTGTCTAAAGCGCGTAAACAGATGAGCTACATATTTTGTTGGTTTTGAATATTGGTTCGAAAGAAGGAAAAAGGAGAGGGAGATTTGGCGTATAAAGTTGAGAGGTTTAATGAGAGGGGTTATAAAAGGAAATGAAGGGATTGACCAAAAAGAGAGACAGAAAGCGATTTTATTTGGAGCGAGAGACACTAACCCTGAAAGAGTGGGATAGTTCCAAATCACTCCCACATTGCAGAACATGGATTTCCTATTTTTTCCCCGCAAGTAATATTGTTTTGTCATTTCCTAATTTATTTCCTCCTCAATTGAATTGACTCATTAGAATTACATACTTCGCTTCTTTCTTTTGTCTCTAACCCACCTCCTTCCACTTTGTCCTATTCGCTTCTTTTCTTCTCCCCCCCCCCCCTCTTTTTTCTATACCTTCTTTTCTATAAATAAGAGCTTCCCCCTGTTCCCCATCCACCCCTTGATATTTTTTCCCCTCTTTCTTCTCCTTCTCCTTCTCTCCGACTACAACAATGGAAGAGCTCGGGTCCTTGTGGGCCTATGAAGCCGAGGTGGGTCTTTCTTTCCATGCTTTCCCTCCTTTCTTTTTTGATTCTTCATTCACTACGCTTCCCTGTTTTCAATGCCTCTAATGCCATTTCTTTCACTCGCTTCTAATACAATTTGCCTCTTGCGATTCTCATTCTCCTGCGCTTCATTACTTTCTATCTTCTTCTTCAAGCTTTAAACTTTCTGTCTAGTAAATTTTGCTGCTCCTGTTTTCTATGGCCATGGTCACTACTGGACTGTGAACTCTTTTTGGCATATTCTTTCTGCTTATTATTCCATCACAACTCGGATTCGGGGAGATTCCTGTTTACCCGTGTTACAGGATAAACTTGTTCTGCTATTGACGCTGGAAAATTGTGTGTTGGCGCGTGTATTGAGGAGAAGATGTGATTGGGAACAACGAAACCTCGTTGTTGGGGAATTATGTCCTTCTGTCAGAATTTGGCTTTGGTCTGAAATTGCTTAGCGAATGCGACGGAACAGGCAGAAAAGGCCATATATTTTCCCCCTACTAATTTCAACCGCCTTATGGAAACTTGATTTTTCGTTTATATCTAATAAAAGCATATTTAAAAAATTTAATTATTTATTAAATTTGATAAAAGCACATATCAAATGTATGTTAAATGTGGTTTTGTTTTGAAAAGATAGGCTTGATATTGCCGGCGTTTTCGTTTCTAATTTTCTGACTGGTCCTTCAATTTCCGTTATACTGATTTTATGTTGACCCCTTTTTTCCGTAATTTATTTTCCATGATTTAATAGTTTCCTATTAAAAAAAAATCTTTCTTAATTTGCAAGTCTGGAAGATTCCTGAGATTTTATCGTTCTACAGGGACTAAACTCTAAACTTACGCGAATAAGAATCCATGACAATCCAAAAGCAAAGAAGTCTGGCATCCATCCTTGTGTCCACATACTGAACGTTGTCGTTTTCCTTGTTCTTTTTATCCGGTTTTCTTACATAATCCTGCTCAAGATTCACCCCGTAACGTGCACTCACAGTCGGTGGCTTGGTGTGGAACACTCCACGATATTTCATTAGGTTCATAAATGAGTCCGCGTGAAAACTTTATGATGGTGACATTTTCTGTTTCTGATTATGCAGGGCATTGAGGAATTGAAGCAGAAGCTTCTCCATGCGACGCTCGAACTGGAATCGGCAAACAAGCTCAAGATGGAACTGTTCGATCTCCTGAAGATTGTGTACCATGAAAGAGACGAACTTCGAGAAGCACTCGCGAAAGTTCTTCACAAGCTCGCAACCTCGTCATCACCGAATATTCCCGAGTATAATGTTATTCCTCAAGTTATTCCCGAGAGTCTGATTATGGTGCCTAACACAAAAGCGAACTCGAGCATCACTGAATCCAACAGTCTCTCTCACGGTTCTTCCGCTGTTGATTCCTTTCTGGACGCTGTTTCTTCTCCTGATTTCTCAAACATGAACGTCGTTGATTCCCGAAACGTGGGTATTTTCAATTCTGAAAAGACACAGCGTGATCCTGCGAACGTTGTTATTGAGAATCTGGTCAAAGGAAAAGCTCTGCCTCAAAAAGGAAAGCTGCTTCAGTCTGTGATGGAAGCAGGACCGTTGCTTCAGACTCTTCTCGTTGCCGGTCCGCTTCCTTGCTGGAGAAATCCTCCCCCTATTCAACCCATAAAGCTTCCACCTTTCAGTATCAAGGACCTTGAATCCCCGGCTCTATTCTCGAATTCTTCTGGGTTTTCGATCAAAGCTCTCGAGACGTGTTCTTCAGCTTCGATGTTGAACTTCGCTTTGAGTAATGCAGTTTCTTGGCAATCGACTACTAATGCGAGTTTCAATTGCAAGCGTCAGAGGCTTTGACCAGCCATTTTGATGCAGTTTCAATTAGTGCCTTGAAATCCCTTTTGTAAATGGAGTTCGGTGATTGGTGTAAATCGCATACCCTGGTTTTGATTGATGTTTGAGTAACATAGCCTCGTCGGTTTTTAATTCTGATGTTTATGTTTAGACTTTAGAGACAAAAGGCAAATCCAGTTCTAATACGCTATAATTCATGCTCTCTCTTTTATTATCGTCTGAGAATCCCATGCCAAATTTTAATCAACAGAGGCATGCAAATATAACAGACTTGGATAAAGAATACGTAGACTAAGTTAGTAATAAATACATACAAGTCTGTCTTGCATAAACGTCACGATATAATGTATTTAAGTATCTTTTGACTTTTTCAAAGCGTGGTGACTTTGATATTATCGATCCAATACGATAGCATACGAGATTCCTCAAATTTACCTCCAATTTTTGCGTCTCTATATGGATTGATGTACTTGGGTTTCAACGATCCGTTGCGTAATCCTCCTGTTAAGCTGCAATTTTACTAAATTGAAATGCTTGGCAAACGCCTCATTTCCTTGGGCTGATAATGAGGGGATGTCTTCCAATTCCGGCATACCTGACGATGATTCTTGGTTTTGGGAGCAACGCAGCGTATCCTCATTTGTCATATTCTCTGCCATCTTCATCATGCTTTCCTTCTACAGCATATTTCAGTGTGTATTCTATAGAAACCCTCGCACTAGTTCCTCAAGAAGCCCCACTTCGAGGTCAAGGGGAGATTTGAACGAGCCAAATCTTGATGATCGTCATTCTATACAGATTCAAGACCGTGCTTTAGAGATGCGTGTCATATCATCTCTTCCGATGTCTCAGTTTAAGAAGAATGAGGCAGAAGAAAAAAGGGGAACCAACATAGAGTGTGCGATATGCTTGGGAGAGTTTGAAGAAGAAGAATGGGTTAAGAGACTTCCTAGCTGTTCGCATGTCTTTCATGTTTCCTGCATAGATACATGGTTTCGCTCTCCTCTCTGTAGATCTTATATCTATCATAATAATCTCGCTCTGTTTCTTACTACACATCGCTAGACGAGACGTCCTACGCATCGCTAGAGACGTTAAGCAGACAAGATTTTTCGTTAGAACGGGCTTCACAATAGAGCAGTCAGGCGACAATAGTTCCAACTTCCAATTGATTCGCTTTCGTTTCTACTTTTCTAATGTACGTTTTCCTCTTGTTCATGGGATCCGATGGCTTTTCATCTTCATAACTACTTGCATCAAGAAGCGAACACGGGTAACTAACACAGAAACGCCAGGCATACAAGTACTTTCACACTCTGCATTCGATTATGCAAGGAGAGAATAAAACAAAAATTCGCCAATCAAAACTTCCTGCGTTAGCCATGGACTTTATAAACTCCTCCGTAGCGGATTCCTGCCTTAAACGTACCCGTATACATTGTGAGGCGCGTTCCCTTGCGTGGGTAATTTGTGAATCCCATCGAAGAAACCCAGCCTCTACTTCTCAAGAGAAAAATTTATCATTTAATCCATATAATTTTAAAAAAATTACAAACAAATTCTACACAAAAAAATTAATTACTATAAGATTCATTAACAACTGACCTAAACTACATTAACATTTAAAACTATTTTAAAATTTAATTTTTATAAAAATTAAGAATTTAGTGATAATATTAGTATTAAATTTTAACATAATTGTAATTTTTATAATTTTTTTAAATATAAAAACTAATATTTAAATCACTAATCCTATAAAAATTGAGTTGTAAAAGTTAAAATTTAAAGACTAAATTACAATCAAATCAAAATTATAATAACTGGATTATGAGTCAGAGTTTAGAATTGATTATAATCGAATCAAAACTATAAGAATTAAATAATTTTTTTTTTTCTTTCTCAAAATATTGCATGGATTGAAAACATGGCTTTCAAATATCACAAATACAAATAAAATAAGGACAGCCATCTGGTGACCGTGGAGACCATGATTTTTCCATTTCTTATTATCACCACGCATTTTCAGCTAAAAGACGGGATCCCCATTTTAAAGTAAAAGGTAGCAGGCTCTTTAAACCCACCAGCTTAAAAGTAAACTTCATGTCAAAATTGTAGTCCGAAGTCTACTTAATGACGATTGAACATGAATAAACCAAATAGTAAGGAACGAAGTATAGAACTCAACCATGTTTCGAAAGTCTCCTATGAATGATCTCTCCATGAAACTGCCTACCAACAAATGAAAGGAAAATAACGCAGGCGATGCAGGATTCTCACTTAGATAATCCCAATCTTGTTTGCTACGTCCAGTGCATCATAATCAGGTGTCAGCCTAACATATGCCTTCTTGGTGCCATCGGGCCTGTAACAGGATAAGGCAAATTTAGGGGGGAAATGCAGCAGAATAAAGCAAATTTAGAAGAAAATGCAGCGAAGTTGCTCCATCAATCGACATAACTCAAACTAATTCTCCAGATATGCAATTCAATACAAACCCACACAACTTTTTACCACTGTTAAACAAAAGAAAAAGAATCGTAAGCTTATAACCGCAAGTGAAGTTGTCACCACTATGCCAAGCACTCCAAATTCCTTCCTCATAAATATAACACGTAACTGAAAACCTAAAATTGCCAACACATATCTAACTTGAACAGTTAACAAGACATGAGAAGAGCATAGACGGCAAGGAGCAATATGGCTCGTAATCAGCAATGGTCCGGAGTCACCTGATTATTGTTAAAGCCTCAGTATGTAAAGACTCACCTGATCAAGGTATTTACTTTCTTGGCCTGAATGTCATACATTTTCTTCACCGCATCCTTTATCTTCTTCTTGTCAGCACGTAGGTCAACGATGAAAACCAAAGTGTTGTTGTCTTCAATCTTCTTCATTGCAGACTCAGTAGTGAGAGGGTACTTCAAAATCTGATAATGATCAAGTTTATTCCTTGGTGGAGCACTAATACGAGGGTATTTGGGATTCCTCGCCTTTTTCAAAGTCTTTGGCCGATGAAATGTAACAGAGGTTCTGATTTTCTTGGCCTTCTTTTTGAAGGCAGGACCTGACTTGACTGCTTTAGCAGTTTTCAAGGCCTGCGCCTTCGGATCATTTTTCTTCGAACCATCAACTGACAAAATGGCTTGATTCAGTCACCCCATATATATATTTTCAAAAAAAAAAAATAATAAAACCTCTAGAGCAGCCATGTGATAGGAAAAATCAATTCCAATAGTATTTGACGCATCTACTATACAGAGAATAAGAATAACATCAACAGCACTCTATCAGTCTATCGCAATACAATCACTTCTCCACATCGTTACAGAAAGCATTTAGTGAAACTTCAAGCTGTTTTCTTTATCACTCGAAGAAGGACAAAAGAGATTGAAATCAATCATTTGGACAAAATAAAAGCATACAATGCTAACTGGATAAAGAGTACTGTGTTAAGACAACCAGAACATACAAAAGTGACGAACATTAAAGCTGGGCATGGCCTCAAGATCGAGAGAGTTAACAATGTCGACAAACGTGCTGAGGCTGTATGATCATTAACAAATAATACTCATTAACTTCTACAAACATTGGCTTCGACCGTTAACAGCTAAACATATTACGAGTCCATCATAGACGATAAAGCGCTGTGGAGCTAAGCCAGAAAATCATGCTAAGGCTGTGCTGTCAATAATATCGTTTTTCAAAAATAAGAATTGCAAGAGCAACATGATATTTCTACTAAGCTGGGTAGTAAAGATTAAATATCCCGACTAATTAATCAATTAACCCAATCTTTCACCCAAATCAACATCAAACTTCAAAAAGTCTACACCCATACATTAAGCGTGAAGAGAATTGACGCGAATCTAAAAGAACTCGTGTAGAAAATGCAGGGACGACTAAGGACATGTATATTCCTTTTTGCGTTAAATGAGTAAATTCAATTACAATATCATTATATTCGCCGGAATTTGAATGTCGTTGGTGCAAATTGAATGTTGACACGAAAAAGGGAAAAAATTAAAAATACTCAATAATAGCGACGAGGGAAATACCTTTAGACGGAGCCATGGATTGCTGAAAATGTTACTCTACCTATTCAATGCTCCAACCCTAGAAGAAACAGGTGTAAGAATTAACCGTAGGAAACGGGAAAACAGAAAATCATCTGCAGTTAAAGCATTCAAAATCCGCCTCACACCTGCGCTGGAGGAGCAGCCATCTAGGGTTTTGGATAAGAAGGCGGGAGTCTTATATGGACGCGGTAACTAAATTATCCATAGGCTTGCCCAATAAGCACGTAGGGAGGAGATTTAGGAATGGGCCTTAGACATGACCATTTCTATTTTCGGTCTATAAAATAGCCCATTAGCCCAATTTGTAGTCCAATTGTTTGATGAGGCTAGATTCAAAAGTTGTAGGGGAGGTATTAAGCGAAATTGATTTTTAGAAGATTAATTGCAGCTGCACTTCGATGAAAATAAGAAAATAATAAACAAATCCTTGAGAATTGTTAGAAGATTTTGAACATTAGGAAGTTGTTGAAAATCCAATTTACACATTTATTTTAATTACTGTAGTCTTCCCCTTACTATTATCTTTTTACAATTGTCATTATCTTTCAAGGATTTTATCAATTAATTTTATCTTTCAAAATATTCACATTTATTTTTAAGATTTTTAAAATATTTATCGTTTAATTCCAGGGTTAACCTATAAATAGCTTAACTCATTTACTTTGTATGTTTTTTTTATGTTATTATTTGTTTCCCTTTGTTTCACTCTTGCTCTTTCTCTCATCTCCTTTCTCCTCCCTTTTCCCTCGCCCAATTTGTACATCACATTGATTTTTTTTTTTTTTTTTGGGTGGGCATCATGGATGTTTCAGCTGAAAAAAAGTTATCGCTGATGCAAAATAATGTTATATGCTATATAAAATCAACAGGATATCTTTAGGAATAAATAATTTCAGCATACAGTGCAATAATCGAGAGTGTAAACAGAAGTCCAGTTTTTATTGTACGCATCTGTTTTTTATGTTTATTCCAATAGCTCTTTTGTGGTTTCTTTTTCATAAGTAAATCATCACTCATGACAATAAATCTAAAACCTCACCATCAGATTTTCGCCCTATACACACTGATCGCCCCTCGTGGTACTGGCAATTTCTCCCCTTGGGTAAGGTGTCCATGTTTCTAACTTAAACACTTTATTCTCAAGAAACAAAGTCGAAGTCTAAGGAAAACTTACCCAGAAAGAAAAAAGTCCTGTAATTGGAATGTTGCAGTAGCAAAATGACTACATTCTTCACAAATGAACACGAAATGCTTCACGCATTTGTTCCACTCAAACATGAAAATCTGAGCTATCTTTCTTTGACTATGTACTAAGTTGACCCTTGTTTGTCGGGAAAGTCTTTGTTACTTACAATAGGATTGATGAATCCAGCTAATGGTGATTGTATATCAGAACCATACACATGACCCATTTTGGTTCGTTTTGTTTCCAGGTACCTCTTGTTTTCTTTTGTGATTGGTGTCAACACAGGAACTCGCCCTATCACTGCCAAACCATACCCTCTCAGCCCAACGAACTTCGCGGGGTTATTTGTCATTAACCTCATTGTTCTCCTAAATCCCTCAGAATCTGCAGCTCACAATCAGAATATATATAGTGAAAAACATTACTATCATCATTCCATTTTTAAGCTTGGAATCTTGCGAGGGAAGAAAAAGAAGAGAACAGACCTGGGCACCAATGCCATACTCACGAGCATCAACAGCCAAGCCAAGTTCTAAGTTGGCCTGAATAGTGTCACGACCTTGATCCTGCAAGTTATAGGCCTTCAGTTTGTGACCGAGTCCAATGCCTCTTCCTTCATGACCTTGAAGATACACAATCACTCCTCTCCCAGCTTCCTCAATCAACTTCATAGCCAACTCTAACTGGTTCCCGCAGTCACATCGAGATGATCCAAATATATCTCCTGTTAAGCACTCTGAATGTACTCTTACTAACACATCTTCCCCATCTCCTATCTCTCCCTGTGTATTTATGCCTCAGAAAGTCTTTCTCTATCTCTCAATCTAACATCACGTGAAATTTACACTCACAAAACGAATGGAAATAATAGAGGTACCTTCACAATAGCCACATGTTCAGTTCCGTCCAGCTTAGAGTGATAGCAATATGCTTGAAATAGACCCCATTTAGTAGGGAGGCGCGAGAAGCTAGTTCTTTCAACCAGTTTTTCTCGCTTTCTCCGGTACCTTGATGATGAATATAATGATTAGTTTGTGAGTTTAACATGATGAATGCCCTTAAAGCAGATTATTGTATAGCATGTATATTAATGAGTGGGGGATACAGACAGAATTGCCTACCTGATCAAATCAGTTATTGAAACAATTGGTAAGTTGTGTTGTGATGCCAAGTTTTGGAGGACAGGTAAGGAAGCCATGGAACCATCAGTTTCATCAACAAGGGTTGAAAGAACTGAGACGGGCCTCAAGCCGGCCATGGTGACCAAATCTACAGAAGCCTCAGTGTGAGCTGCTCTTCTGAGAACACCACCATTTCTGTATTTAAGGGGAAACACATGACCTGGCCTTCTGAATTCTTCTGGCTGTGAGTCTGGAGATGATAATGCAAGAACTGTCTTTGCTCTATCTGCAGCTGATACGCCTGTCGAAGTGCCAAATTTCGCATCCTAAATACGTTGAAATTTAAACATTTTTATCAGAATAAAGTGCCCTCTTCCTAATGAGAAATGCTCAATAGAAATGTGAAAGTACTCTGACCAAAAAATATGCATATTGTTCTGTTTGCTGCTGCAAGCTCACGAATGAAACATACCACAGTGATAGTAAAAGTTGGGGCAGAAGAATCCTCAATTTCAGAGTCAGGTGACATAAGAGGAAGCTTCAGTCTTTGAAGATCCTCATCCTTCATGCCCACAGAGACGATCCCTGATCCGTGCCTTGTCATGAAGGCCACATGCTCCGGACTAGTCATCGATGCCGCCATTACAAGATTTCCTTCAATTTCCCCATTTTCACCATCTACCACTATCGCAAACTAGCACAAATTTCCAGCGCTTTGTCAAATTAACGCCATCATTCTCATACCACATTACCATTCACCGCCTTTTATTTATTTATTTTTGTCAGCAGTTATGTGAACAGAACACAAATAACTAATGATGTGTATTTATAGAATCTTTGATAGGCAAGGGCAAATTATAGAAATGAAAGCAACCTTTCCCTGACGCAGTGCGTCAAGCGCCTGCCCAATCGACGAGTAACCTTTGGAGGGACGGTCTGGATCACCTTCTGCATCACTCACAAAGAAATCTGCAGTTTCTGGTGTGATTTCTGCGTCTAATGTTCCAAATGTTACTGAAGCTGACTCATCCGTCGCACCTAACACTGACCCATTCTCGTTCTTCTTCACACTGCTTGCACCGTACGAGTTTCCTATTCCAACGTCACAAACCCCGATTCCACACAACCTTTTCTTCCACCAGCCACTTCTCATACTCCGAAGTGTCGAGGAGGAACGACCCAAGCTGCCACTCAACATTCATGCTATTCTTAAATTCAACGCTCTGATCAAAAGCTTCACATCAGAAAAAGGAAGAAAAAATACTACCTTGAGCTGTAGATGACATGGGAGATTAAGAAGCGAGGGAATGAAGCAGATTCCATCAACTTAGGCTTGAAAGTTCACCCCCAGAAATCGAAAAATTTATTTGCGAATTCGTTTATATAGTTTTTATCGTTTCATCAGTCCTGTAACTTCATTTTTTCTTTTCAGGTCCCTGTGATCAGAAAAGTAAAAAGGGGGAAAAAAAAAAACGAAAGAAGAAGCACCGCTAGTTGATGCGGTCTCGTTAGCCCCTTTTTGCAGAAGGAAACATTATCCTATGTTTCAAACATTGAGGTGCTTAGGCTATATGAGCCACAAGTTGGCACTAGTGGCGTGGGATAATCGTATAGTTCACACCTACACGATTCTGCTGAACACCAGAAGGAAGCAAGATAAACTGAAAGTCGCCCACCGTACGTGCTTTGTCCTTTTGGTCAGTGTCCAATTCGATTGTTGGATATAGATAGATGCACTCAAATTTTCCCCCTCCTAAATTTCATGATATTATAGAAATGAAATGAGTGTCTCACATGCTAATCACTCCCACAGTTCATTTAATTTAATATAAAATCTACTATCTAAATTCTAAATAATGCTAAGTTATTCTTATAGACAATTTAAACACAATGCTTGGAGAGCCAGTAGGATCTGACATAAAGTGGGGTCAGATGTGCATAGTAAACCCCTCTATTTAATCTGATAAAAATATTCTCAACAGGGTACAAACGAAGATATGTAATATTTATTATATTTTTGTCATTGTTGCTCAACAGTACCTTTTTCATACAGTTATTTTGACACTTGAATTACTACTTTTTGTGGCCAGAATTAGATCTAAATATTGTCAAACCCAACTAAAAATAGGACTCCTCAACTTCATTTTTTATCTATGATGTTTGGACCCTCAATTATACTTATTTCTTTTAATTACCTTATTTCAGGGGGCCTGAAAGACATTTCACATATAATTATAACATCATTTTTTCCATTTTATTCCATTTCTTCATGTCAACCTCCAATGGGCTATAAAATTCAAATCCGGCAGGGGTGGTGGATAGAATCTAAAGACTAAACCAACATTTGATGTATTTCTTTTTTTTTTTTTTTTAAAAAAAAGGGTTCATTTTGGTTACAAACACTGTGATCCGAATCATGGAGGACTAACGGGTGTGGCTCGTTTCAGAGGACCCGCCTGTCGGGCCCGTCAGTCAAACGAAGAACAGTCCCAAACTGAGAGCCGTTGAACCATTCAGTGAAGGCGGAGGCTGACGTGGCAGCCCAAGGTTGAGAAAGGCGTGCCGGAGAAAGCGAGACGCCTGAGGCTGAGAGGCCAATCCCTTTCTGTTCTGTTTTTCGCTCTCTCAGTCCAACGTTATCACTCTCGATGGAAGAATCAGAATACGCTTTTCCCTTTGTCCGATTTCTCCAAGCTTAGTGTCCCGCGCTATTTACTTTTCTTTCGCGCCACTTTCCTGGCTGTGTCCTTATGCCCTGGTTTTCTCATGTTTTATGTGCGTGTCATTCTTGGGCTATGGCGGGATTAACCTCTTCTCTGGCAGGTGATTGGAGGGAGAACAAGTTCTGTAAAGGCATATTTGCGGTGTCGGGAATCATGGTCACACTCGTCACCTATGGTGTTTTGCAGGTTTGTTCTATCGACCTCTTGTTCGCATCATTTCTGCTTGCTTTTTTTCCCCTCATTTTGCAGGTTTAAGTTCACGAATCTGAATCCTTTCATACAAATGCTGATTTCGCTTATTTCTTTGGGTTTGAACCGTAGCCTCGTACGCGATTACCAATTAGATTTGCTGATTTCAACGACTCTTCCATTGAATTTGAGATTTTCTTTTGGCACATTTTGCTGTCTGGATCCTATAATTTAACCAATCATATTGGTTATCCATTTATATCTGGTTTGCTTGACCAACCCAAGCGTGGACTCCTAGCGTAGCACATGTAATTTATTCGCATGTTCGAGTATTCTTTGTTTGTTTAGGCTTCAAAAAGGAGTTGCTGAAATATCATGTGCGGTGCTATTTGTATAAATGTCTTATGAGTCGGTACGTTGTTGATAAAATATCCTTAAATCCTAATACTTCTCAATGGTTGTTTGACTGTATGATGTATAAACCTGTTATAAGTGGTTCGCACAAGTTAGATTCAACTCATCTTCAAATATTTGTTTTACTTTTAGTTAACTTGCAGCTTCTTTGTGTCTTCTTCGTTGTGTCTTCTTCGTTGGATAATAACAACTCTTTGGTTTCCATAGTTTAACATATGAACAAGTAGTGTGCTTATATATATATATATTGTTCTTGCAGGAGAAGATCATGAGAGTTCCTTATGGGGTAGATAACGAGTACTTCAAATATTCACTATTTCTTGTTTTCTGCAACCGTATCACAACAACTGCTGTTTCTGCTGGTTCCTTACTGGTAAGCTGATCTTATATGGGGTAATACTGTCATCTGCATGCGTAGCTTTAATTTGCTGGTTTAGCTGCAGAAATGCAGTTGTTGTGTCACACTTCGTAGTGCTTTAAATTAAAACCTGCAATATAGAGTTCAATCATCTGTGACTGGGTAATTTTCACATTTTATTATAGGCCAGTAAAAAAGCATTAACTCCTGCAGCTCCTATTTACAAGTACTGTGTTGTGTCAGTAACAAACATCCTGACCACAACTTGTCAGTATGAGGTAAGCTGCATTCGCTCTGTGTATCAATACATTTTGAAGTTCATATAAACTTGCTATCCTTATCAGTTTTAAGTTGATGATCATATTTCTTGATCCAGGCCCTTAAATATGTTAGTTTCCCTGTTCAGACCCTTGCAAAGTGTGCTAAAATGATCCCAGTTATGGTAAGTCAAATTTAGCTTTGTTCTTTTAGCTGTGGAATATTTCAGCTGCTTCTTATTGTGATTATTCTTCCCATTTATATTGAATTTCTTCAATTGTGATAAATGGGACTCTTAGCTGATTGGTGTATTTGGTATAGCTCTAATCCGGTCTCTGATTTTCTGGGCATATAATCCTTGATCTGCATTACGGTTCCTTTATCCTGTGATTTTGAATATGGCATACAAAAGACAGTTTCTTGGGGAATATATGTGTGTTGTGAGGATACAAACATGTCAAACTATCTTGTTCCTTACTTCATAAGTTCTATTTACTCCCAGCTTTTTTTGGATTAAAGCTTAGATAAAATCTTTATATTTCTGTCTTATTTCACTGTGTTTCGGCATTTTTCATGGTTTATTCTTCCACTGAAATTTTTGCTCAAGACTAATTTTAAGCCTGCATTTATACTTTATACAGATCTGGGGCACTATCATAATGCAGAAGAGCTATGTGGGCAATGACTATTTCTTGGCATTTTTGGTGACCCTGGGCTGCTCAATTTTCATCCTATATCCTGTAATTATTCTTGTCTTTGCTCCTTGAGTTTCTTTTTTGTCTCCTTCGTTCTTTCTGCATTTGATTGATATCTCTTCAAAAATCAACAATTTTCATATTGCCTACATGGCTGTATGCCAAAGGTACATGAATGGATTTTTTCCCAATAAACAGTGTATCAATAAAAATGAAACAAGACTTACTAAAATAAGGTTCTCAGATCATTCTGAACCAGTCTATGAGCTGACACGAATAGCAATATTTTGCCCATAAGAACAAGGGATGCTAAATTCTTCTTTAGAAGTCTTGGCATTTTTCAATGTAACTTTGGACTTAGAATTTGTCCTGCTAAATTTATTTAGAGCCAATTAGGGTTTATATAGGGCCAAAAGTTTCAAAATCTTCTTTTCAATCAGAGGTTACTATTCACTTGGTCATCTCTAGATTTTTCACTTAACTTGAAAGATTCATACCTTTTTTTCTAGGAAAAAAATCCAATTGAGGTGTTCTTTGGCTTGATTTGAAGCTCTTGACAAGGTGATAAACTTTTGTGAAGGGTACGTAAGGGTAGGAGCAGGTTTGGTGGGTTATTTAGAGTTTCTCTCTCTAAATTATATTTTCTTCTTTTAAACTGTTAAATTTGAATCATCGAATTTAATTGGATGGCTTACCATTGCAATAGACTGCATTGGACCATCCACTTAGTGGAAGAAGCCACCCATGATTATGAGAGACCAAGATAGTATGAAATTCCTGAGTCTTTCATTAAACAGCAACGGATGCTCTATAGGGTACATAAGTATGTTGGTTTTTCCATTTCAATAGCTAGTTCATTAGGGAGGGTTCCCCATCTTACTTGGATCCCTATCAATTGGTATCAAAGCTAGTGGTAGGCAATTCTGAAAAAGACTACTCATAGAGGGTTCTAATTGATAGAGTTTTGACTGGAAAAGAAGCAAGTGAAGAGTCATAGAGTGTAGTCATAAGGATGTTTTACACTCCCAAAGGGCTTATTAACGGAGAGCAAGTAGCACGAGATGCCTTAGGCCCCCATTAAGTACTATGGGGTGCTTAAGTGAGTTGTGTTTTGATTCCACATAGATGCTCGTAAGAGGAATAGGATGAGGGGGAGAGAAAAAGTTGGAGGGGGGGTTATTGTTCTAGGATATATTTTCTTATTTACTTTTGCTTGATTGACCATGCAATTGATGATACATCAGAACCCCAATAATTCAGGAGCATTATTGTAATAAACTAAATTATTAATTCGTTTTTCATGTAGGCAGGATCTGACATAAGCCCATATAATAGAGGAAGGGAAAATACTGCTTGGGGCGCTTTCCTCATGATTGGTTATCTTGGGTATGGCTACAAAAGTAATCCTTTTTATTTTGACGAGTGATTTAATTTTTTTTTTTTTTGGTGAAAAATTTTAAACATGAATACTGCCTTTGCTCATACTGACTTGCATTATATAATTTGTTAAACTATTCTTGATGTTGGGGGAAAGGCGTAGCTTACTTACCCAACAATTGGGGTTTTCTCCCTCTTCCTCTCTTTAACAGCACTCAATGTAATCATTTTAAACAATTGTTGGTTTGATTTGTACTGATGATCGTACTCTGAAACAAGCATGCTATCCTTAAGCCTTATTTGGTCAGTTTGAGTTTTCACATTCTTTCACATTGATAACCATACAACTAATTTTATGCCTTTACCAATTAACTTCGAGAATTTGCTATCAAAAGTGATTCACATGAATCTCTTAATGCATAGATATTGATTTGTTTGTCTTTAATAGGTTTGATGGGTTTACAAGCACATTCCAAGATAAGCTGTTTAAAGGTTATGACATGGAGATACAAAACCAGATATTTTATGTTACCTTCTGTTCTTGTGTTCTTAGCCTGACAGGTTGGTTTTGGATAGTTGCAGCTAATCTGGTTTTAAACAATTCTTGTCATATGAATATTAT